GCAACGGCGCTCTATAAAAGTCAAAAAGATTTTCTGTTCCTTCATCCAGGAATGTTTCATTTTCAATACTTTGAAGCTAACCTTCTGTATTTAAAACTTTTGTACCATACATATCAGTAATAGTATCGCTTGTTTCCAAACGCTCTATGATTGAATTTGTTACCAACTCGATATGAATAGATTTAGACTTTTTTACTAAATATTTAGCATTTACAAAGTCGTTAAGTGCAACACCCTGGAAATAAAACTTTCCTTCTTTTTCAGTCACTTTGGCGAGAAAACGTTTTACTGTTGGCAAATTAATAAACTTTGTTTTTTGAATACGATTTAAATGGCTTTTAGCTTGTTGAACAAACCCTGATGAAGCCAACACATCTATCTCATCACTTTGAAAACATTTTGACAACATCTTTGCTGGTGCTAAAATCTCAATAAACAACGCGATATAAAGGGGCATTCTAGCATGAATCCACTTTTTGTGGTATCCTTTAAACTTAGCTCTTTCAGCATTGGTAAATGTTATATCTTCAGTCATATTTTCCAGATGTGTTAAATAAACACCGTATTTATCTAAAATCATTTCTAAAGCCTGAACTTTATGTGAAATCCATCGTGTTCCTAAAAATGAAACAAGATTATACAATTTATAATTTACTTTATACTTGCAAAAACTAAAAATATAGGCGTCACGCATAACTGTAATGGTAATAAATATAAGATAAATAAATCAAGCAAAAAAAAGAAAATATCGGAGGCTTTCTTAGGTCGGTAACCACCAATGTTATATTCATCATCTTCTAAAATATAAACGAGTTCACCCAACTGTCTTAACTTTTTGGGGGATTTTTTGTAAATGTAATGCATTTTTAAAATCATGTAATCAACGTCATTGAATGAGGCTGTTTTTTCTAATTTTTCTTTTAATGATAACTCGAGACGATGTGCTACACACCAGCCAAACGTGATCCAGGGGACTTCAGCCTTGAGCAACATTTTAACGCCCGACTTGCTCCCTCTGTTAACGGATGCGCCATCCGCACCAAATCCAACTAGTTTTTTATTGCAATTTACGACTTCTATATTCTCGAGTGACTTTTTTATGGTGTTGAAAACTCCGTGCGAAGTTCCATACTCAACATCCAAAAGTGAAAGAAAATCACATTCAACGTTTACTTCAGATTTTCCAGTTGGAGCCGGATTAAAAGTAACGGCAAATATAGCTTCTTTTTCCTTAATTGAAACGTCGTTAGAACCGTCAATTAAAATAGTGAAAAAATTTCGAGTATTTAGTTTATTTTTGAGATCTATCGCTAAACTAAGAGCAATGTAGTCAATAAATACTCCGCATGTGTTTTCGTTTTTATAAGCCTGACCAAAAACTACACCATGTTTCTCTTCTAATTGAATTATTTTTGGGTATAGGCAAAGCGATAGTTCTTCTTTTGCTATAAAGTAAGTGACCTCAAATTTTTTTTTTGTCAAATCCAAGTCTTTACTATTCATGGTTTGAATACCGGATAAAATGTCTGTTTGCCGCATTTCCTGCTGCAACTCGTTTAGTTTTTCAATTCGATCGCACAAATTCATGCCTCTCGTTTTCATAAAAATCTCAAAAGCCTTCTGATGAGACATTCCCTCTGCATGCGTGATTGCAGAACTATGTTGCAATCGGCTACATCCTTTTCCACAGCTCCATTCCGGAGTGTAGCCTTTTAAAATCTGAATTTGCGATGCATATTCTCGGCATACTTTGCATTTTAGCGCTGTAACTATTCCGTCAACGCTTTCAATTTCAAGCCAATCATTAGCATTATATTTTGCAAGCGTAGAGACTTTCCATTTATTAGCTGTTTGTAATTGTAGCTTTCTGTCATAAGTTTTTAGTTTTTTCTCAGCGGGTGTTCCAGATACTAAGTTTCTTTTAAAAGAAATAAATGTTTGACGCTTTTTGTATGCCTCCATTTTAAGATTATTTTTAAACTTACCATTTAATTTCTAAAACTTTAAAACAAAAACTGTTTCTTTCAATTTAAATTGTCACGATGATTTCAAAATGAAGTTTTCCAACGAATCACAAACTTGCTTTGTTCATTATTTTTCAGACAATCAAAGAAATGTTAACCTTTCTAGTTATTAATTCATTTTATTCAAATGAATTCGCTTTATTAAAATAATTCTTTTACAGTTAATAAACTTTCGAACTGAAGACTGTTACGAAATCAACGCTATGTTTATTCCACCAATCAAAAGCATTATTAAGTTATTTACAATAAACTTCGCGCTTCTTTTTAATTACCATTTTTAATGTGAACTAAAAGATTATTATTGGTCTAAAAACTTGTTTAATTCAGCAATAATGAACATATTTTTTTTAATGCTAATTTAATAAATTTAAAATTCTTTTTTAAATGTTAATAAATTTTTTATTCTAATGTGTGACATGCAATGTAGACGATCAAATTTGATCGGCCATAATTAATTTTGGGAGTTCAAAATTTCATTTTTTCCAAAAGTCGACGATCATTGATCGTTGATCGGCCGTTATTTCGAGCGCTGCTTCAACTTCAGTCGGTAAATGTTTAAAAATAGATAAGTTTTTCACACAAACAAGCGACAAAAAGAAAGATTTGTTTGATCTGCAACTTGGTAGATTTATATACAGTACAAACACTAGCTTTAGAACAGTTGAACATAAAGAGTTTAAAAAGTTTATCAATATGCTTCATTCTGGTTACATTCTACCTTATAGAACTCAAATTAAAAGAGCAATATTTGATAAGGTTTACACAGAAGAAATTGAAAAAAGTAATTTATTGAATGGGAAAATTGTAGCAGTGACTTTAGATAGATAGAGTAATGTGCATAACAAACCAATAATTTATTTTGCTGTAGTTGTAAATAATATTAACATTTTAGTAGAAACAATTAGTACTTTGAGTAATTCCCATACTGATGGTCATTCCCATACTGGTGAATATCTTACACAATTGGCAAGAGAAGCAATAGAATTTGTAAAACATAAATTTGGATGCACATTAAAAAGCTTTGTACTAACAATACATATGAAATCAATGCAACAAGTATTGTCATCTGAAGGAGATATAATAATAACTTATGGGTGTGCTGTTTATCTGCTAAATCTTTTAGCAAATGACCTTAACATTGAAAATGTGAGCAAGCATGTTATACAAATAATAAAATAAATATGAAATAGTCATCAAGCTAGAGCAAATTATAGAGGAACAAATTTGCCATTTCCTACTGAAACACACTAGAATTCAGTATATGATTTCCTTAAAAAATATCTCAATAACTGTAGCATCATTTTCACAATGTTTGAAAAAAATAGAGAATTGTGTCCCACAATTGGTAGAAAAATTAGTGGCATACAGATAAAGCGAAATGCAGAGTATTTGTTGAAAATATTAAAACCAATTGGAGTTGCTCTAGATAAGTTGCAAAGAGATCAAACAAAAATAAGTGACACTGTTGAAATTTTTTAAGAGTTGATAAACATGTTATCATTTTTATCAACTGAAAAAAATAAATTGGAAACTAGATATCTTCTGATTGTCAGTGATGCTTCTTGCAAATACCTTAGATCAGAGATATTTTGGATCTAATCTTCCTGAAAATAAAAATTAAGCTGCAATCACCTTTGCAGATAAAGAATTTAAGAATTTATTACCAATAGTATTCAAGTTGAAAGCGAAATCTACTCCTTTGATGAAAGTTATTTGTATAGTGAATCTGTTTTTAAAAATGTACCACCAATGAATGGTGTTCACACTTCACCACAGAATGGTGTTCACACTTCACCACAGAATGGTGTTCACACTTCACCACAGAATGGTGTTCACAATTCACCACAGAATGGTGTTCACACTTCACCACAGAATGGTGTTCACACTTCACCACAGAATGGTGTTCACACTTCACCACAGAATGGTGGAAATCTCTAAAATCTTTGGCCTGCGACGGATATCGAAGGTTTGTTAAACGCACCAGCTTCTAGTGCTGGAATCGAAATTTTTTTTTTGAATTTTGTGCTTGTTCATTCTAAGTTAAGAAACAAAATGGGACTAGAAAAGGCGGCAAACCTTTTATATACAGAACATTAAGTAATGATGTATTGGTTGATGAATTACAGCTGTAGTGTTAATAGAAAATATAATTTACTCAGGTAAATGATTGTTTTTAATGCTTATTTTTAATTGAAAAAGTTGACTAAATATGGCTTTTTTTTAAAAAAAAAAAATTTAAAATCCCTTGTTGTATACAAATTTGTCTACAACAAGGGATTTTAAGTTGTGAAGTATATTTGTAAAACTAACAGTTTCGGATTACATAAAATGTGATTAGTAAATGCATTGAATACATTACTGAATACATGAATCATGATTAACTTAATTTAAGTAAAGTCAATTCTCTAAAAAGGTTGTTCTTAATATATGATATTTTTTTTTTTTTAATATATTTACAAAAGATAAGTATTTTAATACAATTCTATTGTTTTTTGTCTGTCGACAATATTTTTTTACATTATTTGAGACAAATATATCTTTTTGACCATTCTAGATTACCTGATTATTTTTTTCCATAAATATTGATAACAGTTTCTTAAAAAGCATCCTATTTTTAATATCATATAAATACTACAAATATTACATTATATTTTTATTATTATATAAATTCATATTTTACTATTATCTCAATTATATTTAGCATTATTTAGTAATGCTTACTTATTTATCTATATTGTATATATCTTTGACAGCTATACTAAATCCTTATATGACACTATTAAAGTTAATTATGCAATTGATTTAAAAGTAGCTCTAGATATGTTAAATTATTTTGTTACATGGTCTACAACAGTTGTGTTTTTAATTTTTTCTAAATAACAATTTTAAAGGCAGATTTTCTATGTATAAAAAACGTTTTTACATATTTTAACTGTTTTATATACTGCTTTCAAAAATAATTTTTTGTTACTTTAGGTGGGGATGATAGACGTGTTGTTTTATGGAATTCAAATGAAATAGTTCACAATATAACCAATAAACCAATTGTCATGAAAAGTACACATCAATCAAATATTTTTTCTACTATATTCGATTGCTGTACAGAATATATTTTTTCATCTGGTAATTTTATGTTAAATGAATTTAAATGTATCTGTAATTGAAATTCTTTATTATTATTTTTTTTTCAATAGTTTTTTTGTACCTGTCTTATGACCTATTTGACTTTAGAAGAGGTTTTATGAAGCTCATTATACCACAATATCTTGTCAATCCCAGTTGTTATTTTAAAAAACTCAATAAGATCACCTCTTAAATGTCTTGTTTTTAGTGTTGTAAGACCCAATTTTGTCTTTTAGTTTAACTCATATGTTTTGTACCGGTGCTAATTTTGTTGCTCATCTTTTAACATTTTCAAGGTCATTAATTTTTTATTTATTACTTGGACACCACTGGAGCTGATTTGCATGTTAGTTAAATCTTCTTTTATAACAGATATGATTTTAGTATCATCTGCATATAGTTTTGCAATTGAATAGATACATTCAAGGAGATCATTGATATATAACAGAAAGAGAAGAGGACCTAATACCTAACCCTGTGGTGTACTACAAATCTTGCACCAATTTAATACAACTTCACCCATTACCACTATTTGTTTTCTGCTTTTTAAAAAAGTCTAAATCTAATATAAAACATTGCCATAGTTTGAAATTTTATATATAAGTCAATGATGGGTCACCTTATCCAATGCCTTTGCAAAATCTAGGAGCAATATATTATTTGGATAACCATTTTCAATTTCAGTTGTAATAACAGGGTTCCCTCCTTAAAAAACCTTAAATATCTTTTAAAAAAGTCTAAATCTAATATAAAACATTGCCATAGTTTGAAATCTTATATATAAGTCAATGATGGGTCACCTTATCGAATGCCTTTGCAAAATCTAGGAGCAATATATTATTTGGATAACCATTTTCAATTTCAGTTGTAATAACAGGGCTCCCTCCTTAAAAAACCTTTTTATCTTTTAATATCTTTTAAAAAAAAAACCTCCAGAATTATAGAATTATGCAGTGTTTGCATAATTCTAAATTAAATAATTTTTTTGCAAATTATTAACAAATGCTTTGCTTGTTTAGCAGTTTTCTTTTAGTTCAATAGTTCCATCTTCATTCCAAATAATATTCAGATAATTAAAATCACCAACAATCATTAAATCGAAATATTTTCCATTGAACATTTTATTTTTTTTCAGTTTTTATTAATTCATTAATTGAATTGTTTACTATGTCACTACTGTTTGATGGTCTGTATATACATCCAATTAATATTATTGTTTTATGAAGTACTAAGCTACACTATATTTGTTCAACATCTTTATATAAAGGTGAAACTACTACTTCATGAGCAATTATCTTATATTTGGTAAATATTGCAACACCTCCACCTTGATTATTTATTCGATTATTGTAAAAGCAGTTGTAGTTGTTAATATTAACAATTGATTCATTTTTGAACCATGTTTCACAAATAAGTATGATATCTGGTGAATCTATCATGATTAGTTTCAAACTCTGTTTTTTTATTTACCAAAGATGTAGCATTTATATACCAATACTCAAGATAGTTATATTTTTCAACAAAAGTTCATTTAAATTGTCTTTTTCTAACTTACTGAAATTTACTTGAGTCATTGTTAGGCGGATTAATTGAGTTTTTAATGTCTTTTTGTTGCTATTTTTGAATTTTTATTTTTTTATCCTTTCAAATACCATAATGAAAATCTCTCTATTTGTTTTCATTATTTTTATCTCTTCATTCTTGTTTCAGTAATTTGGATTTATATCTTTCAGTTTCTGTTAAGTCCGGATTGATGATTAACGATCCACATTTTATACTTTTTTGATTCATGTAGCTCATTTGCTTTTTTTAATATTGAGTTTCTTTCAGATTTATCTTTTAATATAATTATGAACGGGGCTTGTTTGTCGCTTTTTGATCTTAACTTAATAATATTTTGTAGGCTTAATTTAACTTGCAATTTATTAATGACTTTTTTAATAGTTTTTTTTATCATCTAACTGTGCTTTGCTCTTGTCTTCATTGTCTGAGGTTTTTATTCCAAAAATTACGACGTTAGTCTCTCGTTTTTCACTTTCCTTCGTTTTGCTTGCCACTGTATTTATTATGAGCATTTGTTCCTAATAAATACAATTGGGATTTTTTTACTTATCTGCCCATGTTACACTGGTATAAGTAGGGGCAGATTTTCTATTTTCCTATTCGTCAACTTTTTTCATAATTTTTCATTATCATTGTTTTTCAATCAAATTCTTTTTATATCTGCTCCTGTTGTGCTTTGTAAATGATAAATTCCCTGATTTGAACACTTGCCATTTTCTTTTTATCTTGAAAAGTTTTTTTTTTTAATTATTTTTTTCAACTTAAAATAAAAGTCTGTCATCTTTAAAAGCAGCAAAGTTTTTTTTATATATATGTTGTATATATGGTATGCATGTATTGTATATATGATATCCATGTATTGTATATATGATTACCATGAAGAGTCAGCAGTGAAAGATAATTTGAGAAAATGTTAAGTTTTTTATCAATAAAAAAATGTCATGAGCAGTGCAATAATTATCAACAGTAACAACTGCTGATACTCTGTTTTGTTTGGGTTAAAATTCACCTGCCATTGTAATCCCCAAACTGTCGCAGAAGAAAGATTACGTTCAAGATTCTAATAGATCAACATATGATGACTTCATCAGCAAATAGAATTACTTTAGATTTTATCACGAAGATCATTCAGATTGAAGAAAAGCAACACAGGACCAAGGATAGTCTTATTGGTGATCAAGAAGTTACAGGGTAAGAAAAAAAGTGTTATCTGTAAAGGACAACTTTAATACTGGTGTTAGAAAAAAAGGATTTATTAAAATTTAATAACTTAAATGGATACACCATATAAAAAGAGCTTATGAAGAAGATCATCATGCATTGCACAGCTTGTCGAACAATATTGATAGCCTTCTTATGTTAATGCGCAATAGAATTTTTCTGTTATAAGGTTAACAACTCAACAGTAGAAATAGAGGATAAAGTTTGTATCGATTTTTAGAGAGTAAGTTTTAGGCTCAAGATGAGGTATTAAACCTCATCTTGAGTCTAAAACTTTAATTAAATATTTAAAGATCTTCCTAATAAAAGTTTTTAATAAAAATGTTTAAGGTGATCTCCAGAGTTTTAAAAAATGTTCAGAGATCTCCAAGGTTTTAAAAAATGTTTCGAGTGATCTCCAGAGTTTAAAAAAATGTTCAGAGTGATCTCCAAGGTTTTAAAAAATGTTTCGAGTGATCTCCAGAGTTTTAAAAAATGTTCACAGTTATCTTCAAAGTTTTAAAAAATGTTCAGAGTGATCTCCAAGGTTTTAAAAAATGTTTCAAGTGATCTCCAGAGTTTTAAAAAATTGAGCAACAGATGTCGATTTCTAAAGAAGTATTTTAATAAATGTTCCATTATATATGTAATTTAATCATGTAAAGATTTTTTTCTATAAATAAGTAGCAGTAAAAATGTAAATAAACAGTAAAATAAATACAATTTACATATTAATAGTATAACAAGTGTCTATCAGGACAATGGCAGTGTTCAAATTATGTATCTTATGCTTACAAAGCAAGCACCACCACAAAATACCAGTTCAAAATAGAAAGCAAGATTTAAAATTTATTTGCTTGCTATTTTGAGGTTCAAAAATTATTTATTTAATCTTTCAGATACCTTAACAGTAAATTAAAAAAAGATCGTTACAAAATATCTTTATTACAAAATATTAAAAATTTGTTTATACATTATTATAATGTTGACCAGATAATCTAATAATTAATATTCTTAATATTGATTATTATTCTTCTAAACCTTATCTTTTTACTGTTTTATATAAGGTTTTGTTTTAAAGGTAATGATGAAAAAGTAATTAGACATGACATTGAAAGGTATGACTTTTTTGAGCTTGTTTATAAAAAGGGTGTGTTTGTGCAAAGTGTAAACTTTTATGCACCAAAAGGTGCTTTTAATAATCGAGGGGCGGTTTTAGTTGAATAATTTAAACAATTTTATCATAAAATATAAAGCAACTTGTAAAATATTTCTTATACATGGTCATAGTTAATTGCGATATTAAGAAATGCGTAAGAGCTCAATTATTTCATAATGGGTTCCATAAATGCTTCCTTAATTAATAAACCCTCATTTAAGAGAGAGAAGGCAGACAGCGTTTCCAAAGCACTGTGTTAAAAAAAGTATGAAATAATGAGCATAAGAAAAGTTATTATTAATGACAATAACAAAAACAACAGCACAAAATAGCTATCACACAATTAACCATATAAACTGGTTTTGTGATGTTACCACTCGGTGTAGTTAAGGCGATTTACAAAATATTCGAATACTTTTATTTGGAATTAGCATGGTTTTGTCAGCATATTATGTCCAAACAAGATCTTTAAATGTTATAATTTTTTTTACTTAAGGTTTTAAAAAAATTTAAAGAAACTTTTCTTTTTTTTATATAATTTCCAAACCCGTAATAGTGAATCTAAAGAACACTATTCTTTAGATCAATTCCGCTCATCGGCTTTAACATGAATTAAGTTAAAATCTTTTGAAAAAGTTTCTTAATTTACTACTGATCCTACTTCTAATCGGTTCTGATGTATATTAACTATATATAGTTGTCAAAACACAATATTTCTATCAATTTTCACAAAAAAAACGAGAATTCCGACCAAAAAAGAGCTTATAATTATGGAGAATTACCAATAAACAATCAGAACAGATCATATTTTTAAACTATAATGTTCATTTTACCTAAAAAACGTATTAATATAAAATCTTATTCAAATTTGGACAAGCGGTTGTGATTTTAAGATGGTTTTTTAAAAAAAAAAAAGAATCTTCGGTCTGGGTTTTTTCGCTACAAACATTTATATTTTATGATACAGCAAAATTTATCATTTTAATACTTTTCGTCTTTTTATAATTCACAGACCAGACCATTTAACGGAAATATGTCGTAGTCAACAAAATATCATACAGACGCCATAATATTTTAAAAGTGCCTTAACTACACCCAGCAGTAAACAAAATTATTTTTTGCTCCATTACGTAGAATTCTAGTTTCTCCCTTTTTCACATCATCTAAATTAAAAGCGTGTTTCAAACTATTAAAGCGATGACAAAAGCAACTAAAAAAAAAAGTAGCAAATAGTTATGTTTAAATTTATAAAAAAACATAAAATCGTTTAAGTTGAAGACTTTTATATATTGCTATTATAAATAGTAAATACAAAAAAATGCTTGGTTTTTTCTTAAGTGTCTGAAGTAAAAACAAATTAACAGACATTACCGCTAAACACTGAATTCTGGCAAGTAACACCACAATTTAGTAGCATTGCTTGATTGGCAAGAATAACAGTGTTGCTCTACGCATTGCAAATTAACAGAACTTTTAAAACATGGGAAAACATAATGCAAACATAAATAAACTATTAACACATCATGTAATACATATAAACAGACTTATCAAAAACTATACATTAGGAACTTTATCATTTTCAAACCTAAATAAAAACTAATTAATTATGGTTAATAAATCTAAAATGAAAATGTATAGTCATTAAAATAACCACAGTATTGAAAATTAAAATAATTTTTGAAAAATAAACAGGCTAGAGATCATTGCATTAAAGCATTACTTTCTATCCTGTTTCTCCAAGGAAATTTTATAGGTTTTTAAAAAAAAGGCCTAAATTAAATGAAATAAAAGTGTTAAGTTATGCTTTTTTTTTTTTTTTAAAAAAAAAAAAGAAAAAATCAAGTTTCATGAGAAAAGACAATATAATAACTTTACTTGTAAAACTTTTGTACAGAATAACAAAACAAAAAATTAAATAAAAACATATATATTCACATAACATTACAAAAAAACAACAACAAAAACGTAAAACTTCAAACTATGATACATGGAAAGGCATAATCACTGTTTCTTGATTACATTCAGCGAAAAAGTTTTTTAATATTTCTTCAAGAGAAATTATACATTCTAGCATTAACCAACTCATAATACAATTCTGTTCAACACATACTATTTATACTGGGTGTCTGCCAACTTAATGTTTAATTTGCCTGACTTTTATATGATTCTCAAGTTGTTTTCCACAATTTAATTTATAGTTACAAAATCTCAACTACAATAATAATTGCCATAAACACTTTCAATTGAAAGTAAGAAGGTTTTCAATTGAAAGTATTAAATCATCAGTAAAATCAACATTAAAAGAACGGAGAGAAGATTATAATCTAACAACTAAAATCTTAAATTGTTTGAATGATGTGTACAACTAACATAGGTCATGTCAGTTTATTGCAGAACCATTTGCCATGGCTCTTTCAAAGTTTCAAAATGTCATTCTAGTGTTATTTAAAATTTAAACAACTTTGTTATTAAAATAACTAGTTTTAATTAAAATATCATCAAATTAAGATAACAAGCGAAAAAAAATCTCTGCATTTTGTTGCTAAAAGTTCTGATGTGTCAAACGAAAAATTTTCTAAAGAGTTCAGATTGCTTTAAGAACAGTGTAGAGCCTTGTGAAACGATTCAAGGACACTGGTAAAATTAAAAGAAAATGTTAAAAAAAGTGAAAGATGCCTTTGAAAGATGAATTCCAAATGTAAATGCATTGAAATGCAAAAATTCACTAAAAGTTCTTAGTTTGGCATGCAATTTGTAAATGTGGTAAAAAAAGCTCTTGTTTTGTGACTACAAGAACAATCAACTTTGATATAGGGAAAGTGGGGGCATAATCGCCCCCGTAACGTTGGGATTAATGTTATATGAAAATAAAAACGAAATGTGTTTTTTTAGCTGTTTATTTCAATAACCACATCATTAAGCTTTAAATTGATGCATTTAAGAAAAAAGTTGAACGGGTTTTGAAAATGTTATTACACAAAAATTACACTTAGTGAAAAAAACGGTTTTGCCCCCATTGTGAGGCACAACCGCACCCTCACAAAAATCAATGGGGCTACACCTTTCATGGTACATTTTTTTTACAATTTTCACAGCTCAGATTATTTGATGATTTTGTTGCATGTTTGCATACTGTGCAGGCATTCTTAGTATTTACATTTTGAGTTCTGCCCCAGAAGAGAGTTCTGCCTCAGAAGAGAGTTTTTAGAAAAAATTCAGTTTCATAGTTTAATTATTAGGTTATGGTGTTATCAAAAATGGCTTTCACTTCATGAAATAATGCTGATAACATATATCTTTAACACTAAAATCAAATATTGCTTAATTCTCAAAAAAAAAGTCAGGAAAAATATGATGTAAATATAATATTTTTATGAAAATGAACATTATTCACAACTTCTCAGAAACTTAACAGTCACTCTTTTTGACATATGCAAAATGAAGGAAAATGCTATACTAACGTGTGGTATGTTTTTTTCCATATTAGAAAACATTTTTTGAAGAGAAATGTTAAAAAACAGTTGTGCCTCCATATACGGTTATGCCCCTACTTCCCCTAGAATGGTTCAAGAAGCATCTTTTGCTGTTTTTAAGATCTAGTACAGGTAATCCATTGTTTTGGCTTAATTTAGCATTATAGGTCAACTATAAACTGACTTGAAAAACATATTTTTTTAAAAAATATAATTTTGTTGAAAAACACTGTAATCCACCCATTAAGTCGTATCAAAAGGTGTCTTATGGGCAAACAGACTGGTAAAAAAAGTTGTTATGTCTGAGAAAAATGTCCATCGGGATGAGAAATTAAGAGTCATGGTTATTGAAAAGTTCAATAGATAGTAACAAAGTTTATAAAAAATCTTTTGTGTAGTTCATTTTATTGTTTTAAAATATTGTTTATGGGATTTTATTTGTCTGAATTTATAATTTGTTCTTTTTTCATTCCTGCGTGTATCTGTGGAGATAAATTTTTTTTGAACTTTAAATAGATTTTTGTCAAGTATAGGAAAAGTTGCCACTTTTTTTGTACTAATGACAGTTAGAGCACAGGAATAAAAAACGTCAAGTATTTAATAATCTACTAATAGTTAAGTTTTGTTGTTTAAAATACTTTCTAATGCTTCTGTTAGACTCTCCTTGATCAGCAGCTTCAATAATTTGTCTCTGTCAGTCAGCTGTTCTAAAATATTAAAAGATTTCAAAAAAAGTTTTAACATTTATATAAATGACTCTTTTTAAAAAATTAAAAAAAAATTTTTAAAAAGATTTCATTTATATAAATGTTAGTGTGTATACAAACTACTTCTGCCCTAGATTTTTTGACTGTCACAGTTTCTTTTTTTTTTTTTGCATGTAGTTTGTTTTACAAATTACATTTTTATTCTAAAAGAAAAACATGATTCAAGTAAAACTCATTTGTTTGTTACTTTGATATTTTGACTGATTATTTTTAGTTTGAGTGAAAATGGTAGATTTTTATTTGATGAAGCCATATACTCGATAGATGTTTCACTGCATGACCAGCATTTTTTTGCAACCGCAGGAGAAGATGGGACTGTTCAATTGTGTGATGTAAGAAACAATAATGGTAAAATTTTTATTTTTATAATATAGAAACAGGGGTGAGGAGTGTGGATATTTTTAAACTTTAGAACAAAATGCAGAGATTTCTTTTGTTAATTTTTTTCCTTCCTTCTGGCTATTTTAATGATCTTAAAAGACCCAATGGTCTTATCACAGAACAAGAGTGCATTGTATAAGGAAGTTTTAAGGAACTGGGCTTATTGCTATGCAATTATGCAATAAATTTCAACAGTGATTTTTAGATAAGGAAAATGTTAGTTATGATTGTGATATTAGGTAAACACAGTGTGCGATTTATTACAATTTTGATTATGTGATTGAGATACAACTATTATTAACTATGTAACTAAAATAAGAATAAAATAAAATATTAAAAATGCATCCTATTAAAAATAAAATAAAATAAAACTAATTAAAATTAAACAAATTAAATGCAATATAAAATTGAGACAGCTACGTTTGATTGAAAAACAGAAAATTTTTATTTATTTTTAGTAAAACTTTAGTCTTTTTGCATGCTTGTAAAAAGCTTGAAAAAAGACAAAAAACAAGAAAAGACCAGGTTCTAAAAATAAAGATTTAGACTTCAAAGCTAGCACAGAGACTGAAGGATCTTGTGAAAGTTGAGTGTAGTTTACAAAATCTCATTGCTAAAAGTTTGAATTAACTGCAGGATAATTTTCTTTGACATGCAACACCATTCTAAGAGTATTTTGATTTTGATTCATTCTTTCAGAGAAGCAAAGGTTACTGGTATGCAAAGATAACACCTTGCAAAGCTAGTAAGGCAACTTAAAAAAGGTAGCTCTGTAGCATGATTTTTTCACCGTGCGAAAAAATCAATATTTTTAGCAGTCAGTTCCATGCCTTTGTAAATGTTTATTTTCTTTTGTAGCGGAGGAAATGTTTTAGTAGAACACTGTGACTCTTAACACATTTATGCCAACTTTATGTCTCTTAGGTCATTTGTAGAATCATCTATAACAGATGGTTCAAATAATGACTTTTTTTTTCTCCTGTTGCTCCTAGAATCATTTAGTTATTGAATGATTGTTAACCATACAATGCATTGTCATGTCAAGTGTTTCATCAGTGTTGTTTTGGACAATGAATGACCTTTTTAAAATGGAGGCAAAAAAGAAGCAACACAAAGTTAATTAAACGTTAGTCTTTTATGGGGTAATCTTTGGTTTTTGGTCTCAGATAGAAATGCCTTTATAATTTTACAAACCAGAGAACCTCTTGCAATTACCAAAATGGCAGAAAATTTTGACTAACAGTGAACTCTGCTCTCAACAGGAATCATATCAGGTAGTTGATCTTTAGATGTATTTTTATGTGTGACTAATAAACCAGCTTTAATATTATGAATTGAATTTAGCATCATGTAGTACAAGTTTCTTAATAAGGGCATCATGGACATCCCATGGACATCATGGTTTCTAGGATTTTTTTTTTAATGCATCCTTCAGGCAGTTGTTCAAAGTATGATCAGCTCAAATCATGTGATTTGAACTTTTGATCAATTTACTTTGACCAATAGCACACAAAATCGTTTTAGACTCTATTCTGTTAATACTGGATATTATAATATAAAAAATCATAATGGTTTTCATTCCAATGTAGTTTTGGCAATCAAAAGATAGCTTCTCTAATTCAGAATCTTTACTTGACATAGTGGATAGTCAGGAATTCATTAGGTCATTGTTTCTTAAAATCCAACCATTATATGTAAAAGCCATCAAACTGCAATCAGGAATATAATTTTCAATGTTTTTTTTATAGCTCCTTTTGTTTATGTATAACAGTTTGGCTTTTTAAAGTGTAGTAGGAACATTCAGATTGGCTTTAAAACATAGATAGTTCAGTACCAACTTAGTACCAGGACTTTCAAATATACTCAATGGCAAGGACAACAGCAAGTGTAAGAGAAAATTTTAGCTATGTCTCTTTTGCAATGGTCACTTCTTTATCTTGGTGAAATCATCCAAAGTGCTTTGAATGGACCTTTTCTGAAACTGTGACTCAGTTGGGGCAATGTTATCCAACTGACTGTGCTTGACAGAAGCAAAGAAGCCTTTCATTAAGCTAGATTTTTTAGCTTTGTCTTTTGCCATTTTATTAGCCAATTCTTTAGCAACAGCTTCATTTTCTTAATGTTGCTTCTTTTTCTCTTTTCTACAAATACTATAATGGGCACTGCTCTAAAGAGCTAGCGTCTCTTGTGCTATCTATTAAAATTTATTCTCTTGTTACTCGTCATTCAATTAAGTCTCATCCTTTTTCTGTTACTGTTCCTAAGTGCTCCAAAAACTCTTATTCATCTAGTTTTTTTCCTCGAATATCAGTTCTTTGGAATTCGCTTCCTTCATTTTGCTTTCCTGATTCATATAATTTGTAATCTTTTAAGTCATCTGTCAATTGTTATTTTGCTCTACAATCTTCATCTTTTCTCTTCCAGTAACTTCCAACACTAATTAGTGGTTGCTTGCAGCCTTGTTGGAAGCAAAGATGTTTAAAAAAAAAAAAAAAAAAAAACTTCATCATTTTAGTGTAAAGTGGTGGATGTTTGTTATAAAGAAATAAATATTACTAGTTTAAGTTATTTTTTCCAAACTAGCGAAAATCTGCCACTCTAAAAAGATGCGCTGCTCTGAAAGATAGAAAAGAATGTTATAAAAATTACAATTTCTTGGTAAAAATATATAGATATAAGTATAAAAAGATATAGGTATAAGTCCGAGTTATCATTGTTTAATGGTTTTAAAAAACATTTGTGTCACCTAGCAGAGAAACCAAGTTGTTTGAGATATGGAAAAATTGCAAATAGATTGATAAATTAAGAAAATGTAGGGAAATGGTTCTGAAATTGAAATAAATAGATTTTTCAAAAATAAAGGGAAATACTTCTATAATTGACTAAACACCATCTAAGTTGTGTAACACCCAACTAATACAATTAAAATTGATAATAATTTATAATTTTATTATAAATTATTATAAATAATTATAATTTTTATTGTTTTACCTGAAACTAATTGCAGTTGTTAATAAATCTCATAAAATTATTTGCTATTAAAATTGTAAAAACTGCAGTTATTTATTTAACAATTGTAAGCGTGAGGAATTTCATTGAGAAGATTTCATAGAAACGGTTTTTATAGAACAAATTGCTATTTATTGTGAGTCAATTTTTATTACAAAAATCTACTTAATGTGATTATATATAAATCCTTAATCAAAATAAATTATTTTTTCACTAATTGTCGATACAGTAGCAAGCTTGGTCGGGAAATGATTACTGACAACGGAAATAATATTTAGTTGCGAAAAACTGGCCAGAATTTTTAGTCGCTTTGAGAACATTTCAAAAAACAAAATAAAAAAGTGCAAAAAAGATTAATTTGACTAATAAGAGGCAATTACAAAAAAAAAATAAACTAGGAAAAGAAAATAACTTATAACGCAAAAAAACTTAAAGCAAAATAAATTATGTTTAGAACAAATATTTTCGAAACATCGCTCTTTTATAATTTTTTTATAAAATTAAGCAACATTTTTTATATAAAGTAACATCTTACGATTGCTTATTAAGGAAACAAATGTTCTTTTATTTATCAAGGAGTATAATATAATTTTTATTTATATACTCGTTTCTTATTTCCAGTGCTGCATTAAGGAGGGTTGGGATATAGTCCTGGGTCCCGCAATGTTCAGGGCCCCAAAATAGTCAAGAAGACCTTTTTTTTTAATTCATAAAAAGGTATAAAAAAGGCCTCCAAAATAAAAATAGCCCCTGGCCCTGAAAAGTAAATAAAATTCTAATAAAACTAACGCCCACCCACTTCTATTAAGTTTTCAAGAGTACATTTGTATATATATATATATATATATATATATATATATATATATATATATATATGTGTGTGTGTGTGTATATATATATATATATATATATATATATATATATATATATATATATATATATATATATATATATATATATATATATATATATATATATATATATATATATATATATATATATATATAATTTCATTGAAAACGCAATTATTGTTAAAAGTCTTTTTGTTTACAAAATATATCGTATAAATTGCTTTAAAAGATTACGTTAGAATAAAAAACAGATAAACAAAATTACATTTACATAAAAAATACATACATTTTAAATAAAAAATAAGAATATATATATAATAAACTTTCAAAAGTTTGACAACTTAAAAAATATATATTTAAAACATTTGTTTTTGTAAGTAAATAAATAATAATAGTTTAAAAGATTTATGGCTTTGCAGATGTGGCTCCAAGATATGGCTTTGCAGATATTGCAGATGTGGCTCCAAGAATGAGCCATATTATTGAAATAATAGTTTATTTGATAATATATTCTTAAAACAATTTATGCTAGAAATTTCAAAAATTAACAAATCTCGAACAATACGATTTTTAAAACATTTCAACAGAATACTCTAGAACTTTATTTCGCTTAGTCAGTGAGTTTTTTGAAACAATAGAATTAGTTTGTTCGATTTGGCAGGTTTTTAGTGTTTGCGAATATTCTTTTTATTCTTCCGCACCAAGATGTTTTGAGAACATTTAAGTTTGCATATGTTTCCATGTATGTCCGTAAAACAAAATTTTTTGTTTTATGGACATATATAAACTTAAATGTTCTCAAAAACAACTAAAAAATCTGGCCGTTTTTTTTGCGGGTAAATTTTATTTCTGCAGTCAGTAATCGAGAGTGATCGCTTCCGCTTCCTGACCAAGCCTGAGTATTGCCAGTGTTTTGGAAGTTTATGTTATTTTCCTGTTTTTTATATGGATAGAGTAAACTTTGAACTTCGTGATCCATCTGACTTTTTGATTCTGATGCATTGAACTTCTCGCCTCTTAATTCAATTGACCTCTTGATCCATCTGACCTCTTGATTCTGATGCTAAAATTTTTACCACTGCAACATGACTACTTAGTTTATTATTC